GGAGAAGGGAATGGCAACCCACTCCAGTATTCTTGCCTGGAGAATTCCACGGACAGGGGAGCCTGGTGGGCTACAGTCCATGGGGTTGCAAAGAGTTGGACAAGACTGAGGGACTAACACTTTCACTTTTTCAGACCTGCCCTTAACTGGAAGAGCTGAGGGCCTTGGGCTCTCCCCAGGAGACCCCTGCAGCAGCTGGGAAGGCCCTGGAGCAGCCAGTTTGCTGTGGTCTCGGGAGCACTGAGGCCCAGCACATCACCCCCACGGCTGTCCCCTCCACAGACCCAGGGATTTCAAAATCCTTTGACATATTTGGGGAGAACATCAAGGAGCTGTAGGCTGGTCTAGCCTGAGCCAGCATAGAAGGGCAGCCCACAGCACGTGGAGGAGACCTCCTGACCGCTGTCCCCCAAGAATTTCTTGGGCTACCAGAAGAGAAAAGGCTGGACGTAGAGTGCTCTCTTGTTGGCTTAGGCCAGGGAAGGGGTCAGCAGGCAGGACGCAGCACCCCTGCTTCTCCCACTTCTCCTTCCCCAGTCATGCAGGGCCACTGCTAGGGGTCTTGGGGGGGAGCACCCTCCCAGGACCCCAGCACTAGATGGACCGACAGCCTGTCCTTCCCACCAGGACCTGCCAGATCCTATGCATGATGCTACGCAAGTTCAACTTCCCTACTGTTGCTCTGCACTCCATGATGAAACAGGTGAGGCACCAGGTGGCCACCCAGAGCCCTCCCTGACCAGCCTCACCCTGGGGACGCCTCCCGGCCCCGGGGCTTTTGCTCAGGCCCTCTCCTCTGCCTGGAACACTCTTCCTGCCATCCCATCTGCCCCGTTCTGGCCTCCTCAAGATCATCTCCCTCCCTGGACTGTGAGCCCCTTGAGGGCGGAGACTGTCCTGGCCTCTGTCGTGCGTGTCCCCAGGCCTCACACAGTAAGCATAAACTCTGAAACATTTCTTGGGATGTTACCTAACACTCCCCTGCCCCAATTTTCTCCCAATTTGGCACAGAAAGAACGCTTTGCTGCCCTGGCCAAGTTCAAGTCCAGCATCTACCGGATCCTGATCGCAACAGACGTGGCCTCCCGGTGAGCGGCTCCAGGGTGCTTCCTCCCCGACGGTGGCCCCCACAAAAGGGCCAGAGAGGGAGGCTGGCTTCAGGCAGCCCCACTTCACCGCCGAGTGACCTTGGGTGAGTCCCAACCTCGGTTTCCCCACATGGACAGAGGCGCTGACTGACCTCTGCCTCCAGGGGCCTGGACATTCCCACTGTGCAGGTGGTCATCAACCACAACACCCCCGGACTCCCAAAGATCTACATCCACCGAGTTGGCCGGACAGCCCGCGCAGGTGAGCAGAGGGCGGGGCGGCCTTCGGGCACCCACCCTCCTGCCCGCACAGCATGCAGAGCCAGTCACGAGCTGGTGGGGCACAGGAGGGCCACAGGCCGCAGGTGAGAGAGACTAGAGGTAGTGCTCGCAAGCTGGGGGAATCCTCCTTTCAGAAACATGGGCAGGACTTCCTTGGCGGTCCAGCGTCTCAGACTCTGCGCTACCCATGCAGGGGGCACGGGTTTGATCCCTTGCTGGGGAAGATCCCACACACCACGGCCAAAAAACCCCCCAAACAGACAAAAAGACATAGGTGGGGGTGGTGTGTCTTCTCCACATGATCCAGGCAGCGCTGAGCTGTCCCCTGGGGACACGGCACACACAACCCCCCTCCCCACCACTACCTCCTGCCTCACTCGAGCCCCCTCCACCTGTGAGGGCTGGTCTCCCTAGCCCAGCAGCAAACAGGTGTATGGGTCCTGATGGGTAAGATGCTGCCCTGAGGGATTTAGCATTCAAGTTCAGCCACTTGCTATGACTCCTGGTAGGAGCCTTGCGTCTGCTCCCCAGCCCCACCCGGAAGGGACATGGGAGATTTTCTCACACCTTGGAGTGGGCAGAGCCATGGTTTCTGGAGCCAGACTGGGTCTGGCCCTTCTCTCCTGCCCTGTGGCCTCAGGCCAGTCACATGAGCTCTCTGGGCCCCCACCGCCTTGTCCAGCAGTGGGTAACAAGAATGTGACGCCTGTTTGGGGCCGCTTTGAGGGTCTCAGGCCTGGCCAGCTCCCAGGGCTGTTCTAATACATTGTCTCATGGAAACCGGGAACAGAGAAGGTGCCATGTAGAGATCAGAGCTGAAGCCTGTCTGGGCTTCCTGCTGACAGAACTGGGCTTGAGCTCCCTGGCAGCCATACCGAAAAGGGAAATCAGCCACAGCACCGGCCCCTGATTAAGGCCAAGATGGCAGGAGAGCCGCCTCTCCCTGGAGTCCTGCCGCTCCCCTGGGACAGACCTGCCTACCACATAGAGATCAAGCAGAGGGCTGAGACCTGACGCTCTAAGCTTCCTTCATTTCCACTCATTCCTCCACCCACTGAGGTCCTGTACAATTCCCCTTGATCAAGAGGAGCTCTGAGCCAGCTAGCGGTCAGGACCTGCTTGTATCGGCCCCTTCTCCTGGCCTCCAGCACACAGTCTGGGTGTGTCCCCACAGGGCGGCAGGGACAGGCCATCACGCTGGTGACGCAGTATGACATCCACCTGGTTCACGCCATCGAGGAGCAGATCAGTGAGTGGGGGCGGGGGGGCGAGGGTGGTGCCTCCGGGTGAGACGTCCACTCACCCTGTCAATGCCTGCCTGTCTGCTCATGGGAGGAGGCTTAAACTGCACTTTCCTTCCTACGCAACCCCCATAGAAGTTTCTTTGGCCCAGCTATTGAAGCAGAAACTCCGTCATGGCCTCCAACAGCCGAAAGCCACATCTGATGGGAAGGGACTTTGGTTTCTTAGACCACAGTGTGTGGGTGGTCCCTGCAGATGAGTCAAGCCCCAGGACTGTGGCCTAGGCATGTTTTTAAAAATCCCCTTGAGTGGTTTAATGTATATCCAAGACCGAGAAGCTCTGAGGCATCTCCAACCACTGCACAGACTGTCCTGAGATTCAGAAACATCTTGACTTTAATGGACACTGTTTTCAGAAAAACAAAAACTCCTAATCAAATTCATAGTGTTTTTAACAACCAGAAAGAGACAGCAATCTGTACCTAGCTCTTGCCCACCTGATCTTTATCTGATATGACTCTCTTATGGCCTCGCATGCCCTGCTGCATGGAGAACTACATGGTTGAAATCTTTCTCCCTGTGGTGCCTGCCCCTCCCTGCCCCCTCCCAACCCCAGGTCCCTGCTGTCCCCACAGAGAAGAAGCTGGAGGAGTTCTCAGTGGAGGAAGCCCAGGTCCTACAGATCCTCACACAGGTCAACGTGGTGCGGAGGGAGTGTGAGATTGTGAGTGTCGGGGAAGGGGTTGGTCCTCGGGGACCCAGGGTGCTTCCTCTAAGGTGGCAAACCCTGTGATGGCCTCTTCCCTCCCCCTACTCCTTCTCCCTGCCCAGAAACTGGAGGCGGCCAACTTTGATGAAAAGAAGGAGATTAACAAGCGGAAGCAGATGATTCTGGAGGGGAAGGTGAGGGCTGGTGGAGCTGTCTGTGTGGTAGGGGCAGGGCGCAAGGGTCTCCAGGGAGGACAGTCAGCTTAGCCAGCTTCTGGTCCTCCCTGTGCCAGGACCCTGACCTGGAGGCGAAGCGCAAGGCTGAGCTGGCCAAGATCAAGCAGAAGAACCGGCGCTTCAAGGAGAAAGTTGAGCAGACACTGCAGCGGCAGAAGGCCAGCAGGGCTGACTGCAGGGGGCGCCCGCCCAGGGCCCGGCCTGAGGCCTCACTGTGCCCAGCACCTGCTCAGGGTTCAGCCTGAGTTCCGCACAGCGCCCACTCGCCTAGCCTGGGACTCCTCCATCAAGCGGAGGGTTGGAGCGCCCTCCCCTGAGGACAGGACCCTCTGCCAGCCTGCCCAGTGCCCCTCAGCAGAGCCCGCTGACACCCACGTACAGTGCACAGCCCTCCACCCTGCAGCCTCTGGCGGCCCCTTTCCAGAGCCTTGGCCAAGAGGCGGGCTGCTGAGGAAGGAAGAACACTGGCTATGAGGTTGGGCCCCAGTCCACCTGGGGTACAGTGACCCCAGCTGTGTGATGAGCAAAGGTGTGTCACTTGTAGGAGGTGCTTAATACATGAGTCTTTTAACTTCTGCAGTCTGACTCTGGGGAGCAGGGGCAGCGAGAAGAAGGTGTGGCTGCCTGAACTTCTCAAGTCCCCTGGAACATCATGTTGCCACCCTACCCACTAGTTCTCCTTTCCTGTCGGGCCAGGCCCAAAGCTTTGGACTGTAGTGTTGACCATTCCAGCTGAGTGACCTTGGGTGGGTGAAGTCCCTTATATGGGCCTCAGTTTCCTCATCTGGAAAATGGGTATAGCAACCGCTCTACTATCCGGATGTAGACATGATGTTTTGGAGAGATCGTTTCCATGCCTAGTGAACACAGCCACATTCTAGGAGCTTCCCCACTTGCCCACTTGGTTGTACTTGGGGTTTGTGGCCAGAGTGAAGTGAAAGTGGGGGGCTTAATCAGGGTCCATGTTAGTCCAAACTGGTCCAGACAACATGGGCAGGGCTTAAGGAGATGGGGAAGCAGAGACGTGTCCTGGACATGCTCCCTCAGGCTTTCTGAACCTCACCCTCTAAGTGGCTTACCAAACCCTACACAGACTGAGGGCAGATGGACAGAGGGTCCAGTGATGGTGGTTAGGTATACCCGGCTGCTCAGACACCACACATACACAGCCACGCTTAGAAATGTAATTTGGGCACCAGCACGCACCCTGGGGAGTCTAGAAATTCTACACAATGAAAAGCTCAAAAACAGCCTCTGAGCTGTGAACAGCCAGGGCTGGCTGGAGTCCTGTGGACAAGCCCTCCCAGGCTGAGTCGGGCCCCCGTCCCTGCCAGGGGGCTTGGCCCACTGTGCCGCCTGCGGCCTGGCCTGTGCCCCAGGCGGGAGTCGTCAGTGTAAAACCAGCTCCCACAGGCCCCTTGTATGCAGACCCGGAGGCCGGACTCAGGGCGCGCCCTCGGCCAGGCGGGCCAGCCCCTCCCGCAGCTCGCTCAGCTCAAACAGCCTGACGTCCAGCAGCTGCGCGGCCCGGCCCACCTCGGCCCGGGCCCGCTCCCGCTCGACCCGGGCCTCCTCCAGGCTGCGCTCCGTGGCCCGCAGCTGGTGCTCCAGCTCCGCGTTCCGCGTTTCCAGGTCCTACGGGGAAAGGGTAGGCAGTGTCGGGGGCCCCAGCGAGTCTCAAGGGTCCAGCATCTCAAAGCGGGTGCCGGGGACCACAGCCCTCACTTGGCCAAACTCTCCCTGTCTGCCGGCTTTCTCCCAGTTACCTGTACCCAAGACACTCCCTGGTCCCCCAGCCAATTTGAAGTGACGACACTCCTCCTCAAAATCCTCCTGTCACCACCCATTGTTCTGGGAATGAAATTCAGACCCCTCCCTCCTCTCCTTGCCCATTCCTGCTCAGCCTTTCTGGCTTCCTTGTGGTTCCTTGAATACCTTCTCCCCACCTCAGGGCCTCTGTATTTGCTGTGCACGCTGCCCAGGAGACAACAGGGAGCATCCCCTCAAACACTCTCTCTTTGGGGCACCAGACCCTTTAACTTCCCCACCTGCTGGGCTCACAGGACATGCCCCTATGAATGGTCCTCAGATCGTCTTCAGTGAAAGCCAGGCCAGCCACATTTGGGTACAAATGCAAGCTTCTGGCCTCAGACAGGGATGTGTGAGGATTTGATAGGGCTCAAGAATGGAAATTCAACAGAGACTCAAAAACTGCTTGTTGAATGAATGGAAGAAGATGAAACATTGTCCTAATAACCATCATTTAACTCAGTCCTTCCATGCACCTGGTTATCTGAATCCTTCACAACCTTAGATGTCTTCCTGACTCCATGTGTAGGTGAAGAAACGGAGGTTCGGGGAGGCACACGGCTGCCCAGAACCCGTGAGAAGGGAAGATCATGTCCGTCCCACAGCAGGGTCTGGCTGCCGAGAGTAGTCACCACACCCCACCCCACAGCAACCACACATACCTGCACCTTCTGCTGTGTCTCCTCACGTTCGTTGGTGTCTGCGGCCTCACGGGACCCACTAGTCTGGCTCCTCAGAGTCTGGATCTCCTAGTGAAAAAGTTCCCAGAATCTGTTCTGAGGTCCTTGGCTCCCCTGCAGGAGACCAAGGAAGGCAAAGCCCGAGGAAACACACATGCACACAGATGCCTTCACACACCTGGTCTTTAGTTTGCACCAGTGCCTCCAGCTGCTCCAATGACTGGCTGGGTCCCTCCTTCTCACTGCCTGCAGGTGGCTCGGCGACAGCCTGGGCTTCCAGCTCAGCCACCTGGGCAGACAGGACGGTCAGTCCCTGATGACTCAGTCTGTACCCTCCTCACCCCGGGAATACGCCTCCTGATCAGTCAAGCCCATGACTGGGAATTCATCCCTTCACATCCAGGCCACTACTTCACCTTGGCAGGCAGGACTTTAGGGTCTGACGACCCTCTGGGCCGACATCACTTCAGACCCACACTACGGAGCGAGAAACTAGGACTCTGGGAAGTGACCTGCCGAGAGCACGCATCCAGCCAGGTGAGCCCAGGACAGACAGGGGGCAGGGGCTTCACAGTCACCCTGGGCCACGTGGGGTCTTTGGGAGGGTGGGGCTTCCTCACCCGCTGCCGCAGCCTCTCAGCCTCTGCGCGCTGGGCCTCCAGCTGCTGCCTCCACTGGGCGGCGGCCGCGTTGGCCTCTCGCAGGGCGCCCGCCAACTTGTTGTTACTGTCCTGCAGCGCGAAGAACTCGGCCTCCCACTGCACCTCGCCCACGGAGCTGAGAGAGCACGGGAGTCGGCGGAGGGCGGGGCGGGGCCTCACTGGGCCGGGGGCGGGGCGAGGGCGGGGTTGTGGGCGGGGTCAAGAGACGAGGGGCTGCGGACGGCCCGGGGAGTCGGGGTCAGAGTAGGCCCTTCTGTGTCCGCTCCCCGAGACACAGTCCGCATGGCGAGCAGTATCAACCCATGGGGTGTGGACAGAACCGGGTGGCGGGGCGGCACCCGTGGGTTTAGAATTAGCTGGGGGAGGTGTGGACGGGCCAGGGTTAGCCCCGAGGAATGGATGAGGCAAGCGGAGTCGGCTCTGGAAGGGGCGTCATCTGGGTGTCTCCTCTCCAACCCAGGCCTGTACTGGGATCCCAGGCGCGGATCCACTGTCAGATTCCGCCACTTGAACGAGTCCCAACAGTTTCTGAGAACCTCCTCTCGCCTCCCCCACCTTTCGTCCTGCCACGCCCCTTGTACCCTGCGCTACCCCCTCACCCTTCGGACAGCATCTTTTTGAGCCGCTCGCGTTCAGCAGGGCCCGGGGCATCCGCGCTCTGGCTGCGAAATAGCTTCTCATCGCCGGGGCCATTGGCGCTGACGAGGGGGCTCGGAGGCACCTAAGGGAATGGATAGAAGTGAAGTCACGGTAGGGCGTGGCTTCCGTTAAGGGCCGGTTAGGTCATGGTTGGGGTCAGGGCTGATATCAGCGGTCATGACTGACAGGGGGCAGGTCCTTCCCAGCACTGGGGTCCGATCGTTCCCCTCCCCACTCGCCCACCATCCATGGCCCCCGCATGGCCCCTGGGCTGTAGTTGGTGCCCTGTCCCGCCTCCTTGCCTGCTGGGCTGTCACCAACCCACCAGGAACAAACCTGATGTAGGCTAGCCTAAACCCAGGGAGAGAGATACTCATCATCTGCAGATCGGGGAGCAATCTGAAGCCTCGGTGCTATTCCCTCACCGCAATGACCTTTCCTGGGGCCAAATTTCAACAGCTATTTAAAATTCCTACGGGAAACCTACTCCATTGGGCTAAATTCATTGTGAATCTACCTGGTGCCTGGACCACAATCCTGAAGGCAGGGACCAGCCTACTTTTTTATCTCCTTAAGCCCTGTGCCCAGTCCTGGGCCTGGCACACAGTAGGTGGTCAATAAATGATGTTGAATAAGTTAGTGGGGGGAAATGCTCAGGGCCAGTTTTTTATCCCACCCCACTACTTAGGGCTTCCAGATGGCTCAGTGGTAAAGAACCCGCCTGCCAATGCAGGAGACATAAGAGACACAGGTTTGATCCCTGGGCGGGGAAGATCCCCTGGAGGAAGGCATGGCAAACCACTCTGGTATTCTTGCCTGAAGAATCCCATGAACAGAGAAGCCTGGCAGACTACAGTTCATAGGGTCACAAAGAGTTGGACACGACTGAAGCGACAGTATGCAAGTACGCACCACTACTTGGCCATTTCAACTTTCACATTTCAACTCTGCCACATGAGCTGCTTTTCTGGCCTTCCTTTATCTAACTTTCAGTCAGGCCTATGACATGTTCTCATGGCACCCACACCCTTTTCCGTGGTCCCTGCCATGGATCTAGTTTTACATCATCAGTGAGCATTTGGTCCTGAGCACCGGCATAGCATTTAGACCCCTCCCCTCCATAGCAGTTGAGTTCCTGGCAGGCCTGGGACAAGGAGTGCTGACCTGGTGGGCAGTGAGCCCCAGGGCTGGACTGGTGAGTTCTCCCCCATCCTGAGATTTCTCCCGTGCCAGCCTTGCTGCTTCTTTCACTTCCTGGAACTTCTCAGCAAACTGAGGGATGAGGGATAAGAACAGACAGTCAACAAACTCCCAGCCCCCTCCACCAGGGCCCCACCACACGACTCCCACCCAGCACCGGCCCTGTCTTTGGAAGAGAGGGAACAAGGCTTGGAAGATGATGCCCAAGGAACAGAGTGGGTATCAGGCTAGAGGGCAGGGGTGGGATGTTCACAGAGGCCACCTTGAGAAAGAGATCCCCTTTCCCTCTCAATCAGATTATCTCAGTAAGGAGAGCCTCAGGTGGGTGCTAATCTGTCTTTCATGCCTGGGACGCTTGTGAATATCCCTTATGACAAAGAGAAAGCAGGTCTTGGACTTGGAGCCTCTGACAGGCACCTGCAGCCAGTGGGAAAGTAATCACCCTGTTCTCATTTTTGTTATATTACAGTTTACATTAATCTCCCATACCTGTTTTCCAGCTAGGGTAGGATTCACTTTTTTTTTTCATTTTATTTATTTATTTTTGGCTGCACCAAGCGGACTGTGGGATCTCAGTTCCCTGACCAGGGATTGAACCGGGACCATGGCAGTGAAAGCCTGGAATCCTAACCACTAGGCCACCAGGGAACCTTTTTAAAAAAATGTGTTTATGTATTTATTTATTTGGGCTTGTACTGGGTCTTCACTGCGGCTTGGGCTTTTCCCTGGTTGCAGCGAGCAAGGGCTGCTCTCTAGTTGCAGTGCACAGGCTTCCCACTGCAGCTTCTTCTGTTACAGAGCACAGGCTCTAGGGCACGCGGGCTCAGCAGTTTCGGCTCCTGGGCTCTGGAGCACAGGACCCATGGTTATGGCGCACGGGCTTCATTGATCCGCAGCATCTAACATCTTCCCAGTCCAGCGACTGAACCTGTTTCTCCTGCATTGGCAGGTAGAGTCTTTACCTCTGAGCCACCTAGGAAGCCCCCCACCTTTTTAAATTTTACATAAATTTTCTTAGCTTGAAAGTAATGTTAGAAATATTTACAGATATATAGCCCCTTGGTTTGTGCAAAGGGGCCAGTGCAATTCATTGGGGGTATTGGGGGTAGGCAGTGTTTTCAAAAACTGTTCCAGGATTTCTCTGGTGGCCCAGTGGTTAAGACGCCACACTTCCAGGGCAGGGGGTGCAATCCTCCTGGGGAACAAAGATCCCATATGCCACATGGCGTGGCCAAAAAAAAAGTCCCCAGAGCAACTGAATACTCATATGTGAAAAAATACTCCTACTTTATACCGCCTGCAGAAATTAATTCAAGATCTAAATTTGAAAGGGAAACTAATGCTTCTAGAAGAAAAGAGAAGAAAAGCATCTCAGAGAGCATGAAACATACAGGGAAACCATTAATAAGACAATGCCGAATTCTAGAAACAGCAGAGGGTGGAGGGAGGTGGTAATGAAGGAAGTGCCAGGGGTGTGGGGAAGCACTCAGCCCAGCAAAGGCACCCAGAGAGGAGCAGGGTGTGTTCAAAATCAAAGCAGGTGGCCAACTGAGCTGGGATGTGGACCAGGGAAGTGGGAAGGGGCTACAGGCTGGTCCAATTCTGTATGCCCATTCTGTCGCTGGGAAGACGGAGGCCCAGCATCTGTCCAGGGTCCCCCAGTACACACAAGAGAAGACCCAACCCCAGCCCTGCTCCTCCCACCATGTACCCCAGCAGGCCCACCTGAGTCAGATGCTGTTCAGAAGCAAAGCCAAGGCCATAGACAGTGTTGGCGCGGCTGTCTGCCCACTGTCCAAACTTCTGGGAGGTTTTAGTGAAGGTCATGTTGGGAGTGACAGTGCTGTTGATGATGGCCTGGGGGAAGGTGGGGTTGGGGAGAAAAGTTCATGGGTGATGGAACTGGTAATAATCAATAGGAAACCCCCAGAGAAAATCGCCTTGTGTTAGTCCTTCTGTGCTAAGTCGCTTTAGTCGTGTCCGACTCTTTATAACTCTATGGACTACAGCCCACCAGGCTCCTCTGTCCATGGGATTCTCCAGGCAAGAGAATGGGAGTGGGTTCCCATGTCCTCTTCCAGGGCATCTTCCTGACCCAGGGATCAAACGTATGGCTCCTACGTCTCCTGCATCAGCAGATGGATTCTTTACCACTAGCACCACTTGGTTTGAGCCATTTCAGGAGGAAGATGGAGACCCAGAAAAATTCAGAGTATCCCCTGGCCCCCAAGGCACACAGCAAGGCAGTAAATGGAGCCAGTCCTGTCCCTGGGATCCTTGGGACCTGCCACCCCACCCAGGCCCCACCAGGACCTTGGCACCCCCAAGGCTGATGATTCGGTAGACGTTGCGGGTGGCATCGTAAAAGTAGGAGACAGTGAGTGCGTGTTTGCCCGCAGGGATCCAGTTCCGCTTGGTGGCCGGGTCGATCTGGAACACGTGTGCCCGTGTGCTGAAGATGGGCTGCTCCCTGTGTGGGGACAGGGTGCTCAGTGGGAACCAGACACACCCACCCCCGGGGACTCAGGGTCAAGCTGGCAGAAGCAGGGGCTCACCTGGCTGTGGACATTGGTCAGGCTGGTCTGGGTGGGCTCCAAGTGGCAGCCAGTGGGACGGTAGGAACTGCTGGTTTGGCCTCTGGAGGGAGAGGGGGTTTGTGAGTGTCCCCCCTGCTAGGATGAGGGAGGCCAAGCACGTCTAACCCCAGGACTGCACTAGCAAGTACACCATTCACAGAATTTCAATCCAAAAGTGAAGGGAATGTAGCCTGCCAGGTTCCTCTGTCCATGGAACTCTCCAGGCAACAACACTGGAGTGGGTAGCCATTCCCTTTTCCAGGGGATCTTCCGAACCCAGAGATCAAACCCAGGTCTCCGGCATTGCAGGAACACTCTTTACCATCTGAGCCACCAGGGGCCATCTCCTGTCCTGAGTGTTGCAGGAACATCCTCCAGATGGAGGTGGCCTCTGACAGGAGCCAGGTGGCACCTGACATCCCAGCATAAATCTCACATCTTTCTGCTTACAGGACTCCCAGTGAAGTCTTCTCTATCTCTGGGCTGGGCCCAGGAGGCCAAGGCCAAATCCTGTGCAGTACCTTCTGACATTCATCCATCACTCTTCAAAGCAGGGGCCTCCATCAAAAGAGTGGGGTGATAGCAGGTGCCTACTGGGACACCTGTCCCCCACAGGACCCCCAAAGAAACCCCTCAGTTTCCACTCTAGAGCAGAGGCACACCTTGGAGTCAAAGACCAAAAATCCCCAGGGAGCCGGCAACCTAGTTAAAAAGACAAGATGCGGCTGAACAGGTCCACTGGGCCGGCTCACCCATCACCACTGAATTTCAGTACGTGCGGCTGGGTGGGGACCAGTCCCGGAGAGACCCGGGGGAGGGCAGGCAGACCGAGGGAAGGGAGGCCGGGACTCTGGAGCCCCCGTGGTCAGAGGGGGGAGTGCACCCCCTCCCTCTGGGCAGCTGCTGTCCTGGTCACAGGGTCTGAAACCGGAGCTCGGGGTGGGGGAGGGGCAGTGACTTTGGCCGGCTTTGGGGGTGGGTCCTGGGTCGAGCCGGGGTTCCGGGGGCGCAGGGGTCTCAGACACTCGGGTCCCTCCTGCCCGTCCGGACGCTCCTGCCGCGACTTGCTGCACTGGGGAAAGTTACTCACCAACTAGTCATGCGCCTCGGACGCCGCCGGCCGCGGGGCTCCCCAAGAGGAGCTCGACCCCGCCCGGTGTCCGGGATCCAACACTGCATTTGGTGGTCGAAGCCCCACCCCACGAGCCCCAGTCCAGGGAATCGGATATTCATTCGGGATCAAGACCCCACCCGCGTCAGGACCAGGACGCCCCAACTTCGGGAAGTGTCGCCCCCAGCCCTGGAACTTCCAAGATCCCTTGCCACGGCCCTGCAACACTCCGGGTCCAGAACTTCGGGGACACGTTATCTACCTCCTGCAACCGCAGGTCCAGAACTTAGGGGATCCTTCGCGCTTTCCCTGACTCCTGAACTTCGGGGACCCCCTGCCACCCTTCCATTCCCAGATCGAGAATTTCGGGGTTCCCTCGGGTCGCCCCTCCACCCCAGGTCCGGAACTTCGGAGACACCTTCACAGCCTTCTCCAACGACGGGGCCGGAACTTCGGGACCCCCTCCCAATGTCCCCTCCCTGACCCCGACTCCGGAACTTCGGGGTCCCCTGCCCTCTCAAGCTCTGGCACTTCGGGGCTCCCCCAGCCTCCCCCAACCTCCGTATCCCGAACTTCGGCGACCCCCCCAGTACCCTCTCCGGGGCTCTGGAACTTCGGGGCCCCCCGCACCCCCATCGCTGGCTCGGTTGGCCGGGCTCACCCTGCCGGCTCGGCGCCCCGCAAGTGTCCGGGCGCGAGACGGGTGCCGCCCCGCGGCGCCGACTCCCCGCAGCCCGGCGCCCCGCTCGCTCGCTGGCTCCGGGGCCCGCGCCCTCCGCGCCGCCCTCCGCGCCGCCCGCGCCTTTGTCTGCGCCGCCGCCGCCGCCCGCGCCGCCTCCGGTCCCATCGCGGCGGGTCCCGACGCGGCCGCCGCCCGCCCCGCCTCCCCGGGCCGCCGAGGCCGCCCCGCAGCGCCCCCTGCCGGCCCTCCGCGGCGGGGGGGCGGGAGAGAGGGAGGGGCAGGAGCAGGGAGGAAGAGGAGAAGGATGGGGGGCAAGAGGTTAAGAAGGATGCGGAGGGGGACAGTCAAAGGGGCAGGGCCAGAGATGCGGACCCAGAGACAGGAGAGGCAGAGACACAGGCGACAGGCAGACAGACCTCGGCGGACAAAGGAGAAGGTGGCCTCATCCCCCTTTCAAGGGTGTATGTGGGGGTGTCCCCGATCCTCTGGGCCACGGCTGCTTTTGTCTGTGATGGGGAGTCAGGGCCCTCTTCACCCGAAGGGAGTCCAGGTGCAGGGCGCATCTGCCCCTAGGTGGACGGACCCAGGCGTGGCTGGTCCTCCGTGCCTGTATGCGGGAAATGAAGAAAGTGACCTTGGCGAGAGGAGGCTGGAAGATGAGAGAGAGGTGAACAGCAGGCGCCTAATGGGGCTTGACCCCAGGTGCCCTCTCAGATCCCTTCCTGCCTACTCTCCCACCCCACTCTGATCCCCAGGGGCGAGCTTTTGTCCACCTTGGGGCTTCTGTGTCTCCCCGAACAACAGTGTTGATGAGGTTGGATTAGGATTATCATTGCTGTTAAACGGTCCCCAAATCCCAGGTGGGGGGAATGTCCATGTCCACTTGCCACCGAATGTGTGAATTGCCTGGAGGTCCACAGGCCTGGGCTTGTCACTGCTGCTCGGAGTCCATGCCTTCCTACACTTCTAGACGGAACTTCTAGAGCTGAGCCAGGATCTCCTGGTCCAAGCCTGCGGAGTCCCCTGGTCAGTCCCAGCTCCACCCTCTCTCTGGAGTCTCCTCCAGAGTCACACAGTGCCACCGGGTGCATGGACAGGGGCACCGAACCAAGGAAGGCCTGCACTTCCGCGAAGCTCTGAGCCTCACCTGTGTGACCCCATGGACTGTAGCCCGCCAGCCTCCTCTGTCCATGGGATTCCCCAGGCAAGAATACTGGAGTGGGTGGCCATGCCCTCCTCCAGGGGATCTTCTCCACCCAGGAATGGAACCTGCATCTCTTATGTCTCCTGCATTGGCAGGTGGGTTCTTTACCACTAGCACCACCTGGGAAGCCCACATTCGAGGTTTTTTGCTTTTTCTCTCCTCTGACTCCTTTCCCTGTTCTTGTCTGTCTGTTTCCCCCACATCTGAGCTGGTCGCTCCCTTCAAATTACCTTTAGGTGAATCCTAGGTCATGTCGTTTCTGGAGCCTTCATCCCAGGCCAAGATCTGAGTTTTCCTCCCTCCCAGCCTTTGCCGAAGCTATTCCCTCCAACTAGAATGCCCTTCTCAAAGGCCTGTATTCTGTTTTGTCCTTCTAGGTTCAGCTCCTCTGCCCCTCACCTCCCAGATGCTTCTCTGACTATCCTGAGCTTGGTAGGGACCTCGCCCACCCCTGCTGCACCATCCCATCCCTTTTTGGGGAATCCCTGATTGATTTACTGGTTCGATTATGGCCAGAACTGACCCATCCTCGAGCCTGAACCTCTCTCAGTGTGAGGGGGACTATCACTCCAGCTCAGGAAACAGAGCCACAGACTCACTTTCTCCACCTGCCTCTAACTTCACACAGCATCTGCATAAGCAAGGGATTTGGCTTCGCTCTCAGGCCCAAAGCCACAAAATGCTTGAACACTGTAGGGAACAAAGAAAATACCGTCTGTTCCGTGCAGAGAGTGACTTTTCCTTATAACCAAAAAAAAAAAAAAAAAAAATGTAACTGGGAAGGTGCTGGCAGGGCCGAGGCTTTTGGAAGCCACTCTGTGTGCTGAGTACTGGCCGGCTGTAGAACTGGGGCCAAGTGGCTGTTCTGTGGGGGCAGGTGGGCGAGGAGCCTAGGCAGACTTTACCCCTTACGTGGGCAGGAGGCAACAGCGTGATGGAGAATGGGGTCCCCTCTCAAGTCTCCAGGAAGGATTGGGATGGAGCTGGCCTTGAGCAGCCCTGACCTGCAGTTGTCTTAGTCCAGTTCAAACTGAGAGAATGCTTCTGTCAGTGTAGACTCGGCTTTCTCGCCTGGAGAATGGGCTGATGCTCATGGAGGAGGCAGGAAGAATCCAGGCAACACCATCAGCCTCTCACCTTTCCCCGGGCATAGATGAGTAGGAGGCTGCCCTGAGCTGCCCCTCCCACCTCAGCCTGCGCCTCTTCTGCGTGGTCCTTGGGCCTCTCTGACAAAGGACTGGGAATGTCCTTGAGGGACGAGCAGAGGCCGCCAGCCCAAGGTGGTTAGAAACGACAGCTTCCTCTTGGGGCTGAGGAAGGACTTGAGGGAACGCGCTTCCTGCCATGGGAGAAGCCAAGCAGGAAATAGAACAGCTCATTCGGCCCTCAGCTCAGCTCAGTCCAGTTGCTCAGCCATGTCTGACTCTTTGCGACTCCGTGGACCACAGCATTACAGAGGGGCTCTTATAGGTGAGGCTCTGGCCTCTGTCTCGTTAAATCTGACCCAGACCTTGGGCTGAAGTTATATTGTCTCTCCTCCCTGGAGGGTTCCTGTCCCACCAGAGCAGCAAAGGGGGGAGAGTGCCTGTCACGATTCCCCAAAACCACATGCCCAACCTCGTGGCCTGGATTACAGGGACCACTCAGGTTTGTGTCATGATTTGGTTACTGCCTACTTTGTTCAAGCCTCTGTCCCACCACCTAGAGCAAGTCTGACTTGCAGCAGGAACTCTGTTAAATGTTGCCAGCAGGAAGAGATCCCAAGGGCCCTGCCTAGGTCCTTGGTGGCCTTCAGTGTCACATGAGCCAGGGTGCCTCTTAACAGCAGAGTGATCTTAAAGAAGTCACTTTCCTTCCCGGTATTTTAGTTTCCCCATCCATAAAACATGCGTTAAGA